TTTTTCTTTTTTTTTTACTGATCAGTGACGGGACTGAGAGTTGAACTTACAAGTGCGGAAAATCTGTCAGAGTCTCAGATTGAAGAGCTTGTGATTATACAGGTGAGAAACAGTTCAAAACACTCATAATGCTTTTATTTTTTGTTGCACAAAAACAAACAAAAAACACATGCAAAAGAAATAAATTACTTTAGAACAACTTCACAACAACAGCATAATAATAATCAAGCGTGTGTCAGTTCTGGCAGGTCTGGCATTCTGATTCCCCTTTGAATCAGGCTAAATTCTCGAATTATGTTGTACATTAAAATCTTGAATTAATGATATCAATACATTCATGTTGGTTCTGTTGTGTTTACCCTAAGAGGGGTTATTGCTGCTCTCCCTGCTCTTATCTATGCTGGGCTGCATGGATGCACAGGGAGTTCTTGCCCAGAACAGGACCATATCGCCAATCCAAACTGTATGCTAACTGTCAAATCGTATTTGACGATAGTGGTCCTGACAGAAATAATAATAATCATTATTATTATTTACAGATCTTTGTAATATATTTAGCTCAAAAATATCTCACAGAAAAAAAATCCCATGTTTCAGCTCCAGGAAGAATTTATCAGACGAGGACTTCCCAGCAACTTCACAATGCATTTGAGAAACTATCTGAAAATCAAACCATGAGAGATAACAACAGAATATGTGCACACACGAACATGGTTTTAGGGTTTGTGTTTCTGCATTTTGCATGTTCTTTGTCCTATTGATAATATAAATTTTGAATGTCACATGATTGTCTTGTATTGTATTTAAAAAAAATATATATATATAAGATGTATTTAAACTGCAGGCTTTTTTGATTAAAACAAAACTAGGTTGCTTGTACTCATACTATCAGAACTTTATATATATATATATATATATATATATATATATATATATATATATATATATATATAATCAAACTAATCAAACATTTTGTGTCATTATGTGTTGCAATGATTTGTTAATTTGCCCCGAGACACTGGGATAGGCTTCAGCATCCCTGTGACCCTACATAGAACAATAAATTTGGGGAATAGATGGTTGGATGATTTGTTAATCTGTCTGATCAAATTTACTTGGTAATTTATTAGTCATCAACCAAACATAATGATAATGATATTTTTTTTGCCACCTCAGGGATACAGTTGTATTTGTCTTTGTTGTCAGCACAACTGGAATGATACAGTACAAAAACATACAGAGGAACAATATGGGGTTAGAATTGTTGCATTATTCCAAATAAATAGATTGAGATTCACATTTTTGTGAATCTCTTTACATTTGTTTGTGAATCTCAATCTATTTATTTGGAATAATGCCACAATTCTAACCCCATAGTACAACCACATGAAAACAGACATCTGACGTGACTTACTCATCATATGACACAACATTTTGTATATATTTTTTGATTACATGGTAATGTGATATTATATGGTACTATATACAGGTTTATCATCAATAAATAATCACACACACACAAAAAATGGTTTCTTTATTTATTTATGGACCTCTAAAGTCCACTGGGCTTGATCAAGGAAAAGTTTACAGTGGTAGACAATAAAAAAATCTTGTCAGTCAGAATAATATCATCAGTCAGGAATCTCAGGATTATCATTTTGTGATTTACACAGAGACCAACCAAATGGAGGGCTATTAATAACCAGAGTCTATAGTCTGTAAACTATAAACAAGATTATACTTTCTTGAGTTACAGTCTCAAATATATAACTCTTCATTGTTTGTATCACTCTGGATTTCTGTATTTGTCCAGACACACGTTTCCATCAAAAGTTGCATATTTAACTTATATGTTAGTGTCCTTTAGGTGTTAGAGCGCACTCCACAAAAGGCATGGCCTCGTCGTGGGCTTGGTCTAGCGGGATTACCTTGCAGGATATCTGTATGGCGGCAGGCTGGGCCTCCCCGTCTACATTTATAAGGTTTCCCACCTTGCAGGCTAAACTACTTTAGGTCTAAAATCAGTATTGTCTGCCCCTTTGCTTCAGCTCAGAATACTACAACCGCTTGAGCACCGCTCGCTGATCGATAAAATTACTCCATGGGCAAAAGTAAGACCCATACCGTTATCCAGTTCAGGCCGAACAATTTCACCCTGACTGTGTGGAACACTGTTGATGTGATTAGCTCCCTTAGGACGCTAACTTATTGGGAATGACGCTTCTAGCCTCTCTTCTCAGACTCTTTGTGAGTCCCTGGTGATTATGCACTATATGAGCCCCGGGCACCTGCTTTGGTGTTGGATCCCAGCACGCACGGCGTTTTACACTGTGTTCCCCTAGCGTAAGAACCTCTCGTAAGAGAACGTACTCGGTTACTAACGCAACCTCAGTTCTCTCTAGAAGAGGGAACGAGTACTGCGTATCTTTGCCGTGCCTGCAACACGCTCTGGTTCGCTTAGGCGATGAAAAACCAGATCAGCCCATTGAGCTATATTTAAAGGCCCAGGCCACGCCCGGAGGTGACGTAGTGAGCGCGAAGCGCCACCATTGGATCTGACATCACCAAGGGCCTCTCTCAATAGGCTGCTGCAGTTGCCGCAGGACAGCCAATAGGCACGCGAGCCGTCTTGCCTATGTCTGCATGCTGCCGCAACGCGTTTTACATTATTTCAAAATTAAGGATAATTTTTGGCTTCAATATCTCGTGGAAAAGAGGGTTTCCCCTAGCGTAGGATATTACGCAGTACGAGAGAACCTCTGCTAGAGAGAACCGAGGTTACGTTAGTAACCGAGTACGTTTTATGTATTTCACAATGAGTTTCTTTCCTATACAAATGCCCTTAAAATTATAAAAAGTAAAAATGCAAAATAAAACAAAACCTTTGGCTATAATAGAAGAATATGATTTGAAAAACAAACCCTAGCCTTTTGGTGATTTATTGTTCTTTTTTTCTTCTTCTTCTTCATGTAATGCAAGTATGAATCTGATCTTACTGGTATATTGCAATGATGTATGATTGTTGCCATGTTGTTTAAATGTTTGTACATGACATTGTTCAAGAAAAAAAACAAGAAAAAAAAAACACGTATCTCGTACCCAAGTCTTCGATCACCCTGCTGAGCGATTATGAAAATTTCTGTCTATCCCTCCTCCGCCCAAGACATTTGCTACGGCTAATCTACCATTTTCTTGCAACAGCTTGTACTTTATGTTTGTTATTTTGACTATGCTGAACAAATTCTTGTATTTACTTAGCAGTAACAGCAGCAACACAGCAGATCTCATATGCCAAAATCAAGCTTATGTACTGGAATATTCCATTCCCATGCAATAAATGCTAGTCGAAATAATTCACTGCGAGAGATGTCATGACTGACATTTATAATATTTATGTAATATTCCAGCATTAATGTTTTTAATAGTTTTAGTTAATTATAATAACCCTACTATATCTTTATGTAACAGTTTGGTCTACAGCACGCGCAACGAGACTAGGAACTCAGAATAAGCTTTATTCAAACTTCTGCACCTCTAATTGGAAGTTACGCACTTGAATAAAATTAGATTTCTGTCTACAAAAACATGCAAAGTGTCGTGATTATGGACTCTTATTTTTGATATTCTGGTTTCCCTTAGTTCCTGTTTTCCTGCTCCGTTTAGTTTCTGTTTCCGATTATGTCCTCGTTTGTTCCTTTGGTTACATATTATCTGTGTTGTGATTCCTGTCTTGTGTTCTCTTACGAGAGTATCTCTCGTACTGCGTAATATCTTACGCTATGGGGAAAACTCTTTTCCACGAGATATTGAAACCAAAAATTATCGCTTTGCAGCAGCAAGCAGACATAAGCGAGACAGCTCGCGCGCCTATTGGCTGCCCTGCGGCAAAAGCAGCAGCCTATCGAGAGCCGCTCTGCACAACGTCATGACCAATGGGGGCACTTCGCGCCCATTTCGTCACGTCCCGCCAGAAAGGGCGTGGTCTTGCCCTATAAAGGCGGACGACAGGCTGATACAAACTGATTTTCATCACGCATCGCTGGATCCGGAGTGAGAAGCCGCGCTGTCGACGCAAGCCTTCAGCGGGACGAGCCCTTGAGCCTGAAGTCGCTGGCCTTCACCTCGCCGCCTTCAGCCACCATACCTGCTGCACTTTCCGGCGCCTATATCCTTTTTACTCTGCTGAGAGTGTTTGTTCGCCGTTGCAACTCACACTTCTCCCTAAAACCTCTAAAAGAGCTGCGTCTTTTTAAAGATGCCTTCCTGTGGCTCGTGCCGAGCCCAACTCAGCAACGGGGACCGCCATGTCATCTGCGTTTCTTGCCTGGGTAAGGATCATGCGGCTCTCGCGCTCACTGAGGGCGGATGCCCCCATTGTGAGCTGTTGCCTATGGTGACTCGGAGGACTCGCCTGGCATCAATCTCAGAGCCTGCACCGCCCGCTGTGGTCCCGCGGTGTAAGAAGCGTGGCGCCCAGCGCGCCCCCGAGCTCTCTCGGACAGTGAGGATTGGGCGAGCTCTGTGGACCTCCCCCCGCTACCCGCCAGCCCTCTGGGAAATGAGCCGGCATTGAGTCTGAGCTGATACGTCTGCTCACTCAAGCCGTGGAAAACATCGGCCTCGACTGGGAGGCGCCCACGCCACCGGCGTGAAACAGGCTGGATGGACGCTTTCTCAGGAAAGACGAAGCTCCGTCTCAGTCAAGACCCGCGCCCTTCCTCCCTGAACTACACGAGGAAGTGGCGAAATCATGGAACGCCCCCTTCTCCGCCAGGCTGCGTACCTCCGTCTCTGCTGCATTCTCCACTGTGGATGGTGCGAAAGATAGAGGGTACCTCTCCATTCCTCCTGTGGAGGCAGCTGTAGCTTCCCATCTTTGACCGCCCTCCGCTGGACGGCGCGCTCAGACGGCGCTACCCTCTAAAGCCTGCAGAGTGATGTCAGCCATGCACGGTCGCGCCTACGCCGCTTCCGGGCAAGCAGTTTCAGCACTGCACACAATGGCGATCCTGCAGATCTTCCAAGCCGACCTTCTCCATAAACTGGACGAGGAAGGACCGGGAGCGATCTGCGTGGCGGATTTGAGAAGCGCGACAGACCTCACTCTACGCGCTGCAAAGGCCGCTGCACAGGCCATCGGGCGAAATATGGCCTCTCTTACCGTAGCTGAGAGAAACTTGTGGCTAACACTGTCTGAGATGACGGATGCTGAGCACTCCGTGTTCCTCAACACGCCCATCTCGCCAGCGGGCCTCTACGGATCTGCCGTCACAGATTTCGTGGACAGATTCGTCGAGGTGCAGAAAACATCGCAGGCTATGAAGCACTTCCTGCCGAAGCGCTCGAGCTCCGCTACAGGCCGCCCGAAGCAGCCGCCTGGCCGCAGCTCCCAGCCGCAGTCTACAACACCCGCCGCCGCTTCACAGCGCCGCCAGGCCCGAGACCAAAGACCGCGCTCTCGCTCTGCTGGACGCCGCCCCCCTCAGCGTGGGCCCCGGCCGAGGATTGAGATCAACCCCGAGGTCTCAAAGCCTTCCTAGCATCTCTAGGAAAGCGACGGTGTTCAAATCCCGCTGCGGCCGGTTTTTCACCAAAACTTCTCGCTCGTTCAGTTCCAAGCAATGTGACTGTTCCAGTGTATTTTGCAGTGAGCAAGCTGGTTTCACAGCCCGCTTGCCTGCACACAAAAGCCGTTTTTACGGCTACCCAGATAAATCCAATAAAGAGTGTATTTTCTGGTGTCCCGGCCACGGCCGATGGTGTTATGAGTGTCGTAAGAATGCCCACGTCCCAGTGCCCATTCCCACACCCAGACACAGCCTGCCACGGTGCAGGGCTAGCACAAATAAAATCGATTCATATCGATTGTGCAAACAATGTAGTGAACGCGCCCATGTCACAATGCCCGCTTACACTACACGATACGTGTCCTCTGGTTTCTGTAAAAACGAAACTAACACACATTCGGTCGGCGCGAGCCGACAGTGTTCTCAGTGCAGTAGATGTGCCCGTGGTCCCGCGCCCACATTCTCTCACAGACACGCCGAATCCCACGGGATTCGCCCCGCTCGTTTTCTTTGCACAACCCGTCATAGAGAAACTGAGCGCGGCCAGGCTGCCCGCTGTCATCAGTGCACCCCCCGCCTCGAACGCTGTAAACACAGCGCTGAGTTCTCAGCACAACGGGGCTCTCGAGCCGCCGTTATGCCGCGGCCAGAGCCCAGATTTAATTCGGCCCCTAGCTATTCACGCAGATGCGTGGTCAAAGCTTCCCGGGGTATCAGAATGGGTGCTGAACACTATAAAGAGAGGCTATTCGCTACAATTCGCTCGACGCCCCCGCCCGTTATACAGCGCGCGCCGAAACCACGGTGAAAAACGAAGTATCTCATCTACTTCGAGCCGAGATAGCGAAACTTCTGAGCAAAGGGGCTATAAAACCTTTATCTCAGGCTCAGAGCGAAGGGGGCCTATACAGCAGATATTTTCTGGTACCGAAAAAGGATGGGGGTCTCAGACCCATTTTAGATCTGCGACAGCTGAACAGAGCACTTGTAAAGCGCCAGTTCAGAATGCTTACAACCAGGAAAATCCTCGCGCAAGTGCGCCGAGAGGACTGGTTTATGTCAATAGATCTAAAAGACGCCTATTTCCAAATACAAATAGCGTCCCATCACAGGCGATTCTTGAGATTCGCCTTCGAGGGCCAGGCATATCAATACACAATCCTGCCGTTCGGCCTGTCCCTAGCACCCCGTACATTCACGAAGTGCATGGACGCGGCTCCCGCACCCCTGAGACTCCGGGGCATGCGAGTTTTGAACTACTTGGACGATTGGCTGATTCTAGCTCGATCTCACTCAGAGCTCAAAGAACACAGGGCCACATTACTCGAGCACCTCGAGAATCTGGGCCTCACAGTCAATTGGGCGAAAAGCTCGCTGTCTCCCAGTCAGAATGTTTCTTTTTTGGGAACAGTGCTGGACTCGCTATCCATGACAGCACGCCTGTCACCGGAGCGCGGACTAAGCATTCAGCGCGTCGCGAAATCCTTCCGCCACGGCTCTATAGTCCCGCTCAAAGGTTTCAGAAAATGCTGGGCCTAATGGCCTCAGCAGCCTCCGTACTCCAGCTGGGCCTGCTTCGCATGGGCCCACTGCAGTTCTGGCTGAAAGCGCGAGTTCCGCCCCGGGCATGGACAGCTGGTCTGTTTCGCCTCAAGGTCGATCTAAAGTGCTTTTCGGCTCTGAAACCTTGGAAAATGACCGACTGGTATCAGTCAGGTGTGAGTCTGGGGACTCCCTCGAGTGTGAGGGTGGTGTCTACGGACGCCTCCACCTCGGGATGGGGAGCGCTGCTCGAGGGCAGACCGCTTGCTGGCCTGTGGTCAGAACGGGAAAAGCTCCTTCACATAAACTGCTTGGAAATTATAGCAGTCGACAAAGCGCTACGGCGCTTTTGTCCCCAGATAAAAGGCCACCACGTCTTGGTTCGGTCGGACAACATGTCAGTGGTGGCCTACGTAAATCACCAGGGTGGCATCAGGTCCCGAAACCTTTACAGGCTGACGGAACGCCTCCTGGTCTGGGCCCAGCACAACCTGCTCTCACTGAGAGCAGCGCATGTGCCTGGTCACCTGAATGTGGGGCCAGACAGACTGTCCAGAAACAATGTCCCAGCAGGGGAATGGTCGCTGCACCCGCAGACGGTCCAACTGCTGTGGGAAACGTTCGGCAAAGCGCAGGTGGACCTGCTCGCGTCCCACGAAAACGCTCATTGCCAGAACTTTTTCTCGAAAAGCAGAGACGCGCTGGCCCATGTCTGGCCCTGCTGTCCCCTATATGCTTTTCCCCCTGTCTCGCTCCTGCCTCAAGTGTTGGAACGAATCAGGGAAAACGGATACCCAGTGCTGCTCGTGGCTCCGCTCTGGACAAACCAGACTTGGTTCCCTGTCCTGATGCAGCTGACCAGCACTGCCCCGTGGCCTGTGCCACTGAGGAGAGACCTCCTCTCTCAGGCAGGGGGCTCGATTTGGCATCCTCGCCTGGATTTGTGGTCCCTGCACGCATGGGCCATCAACGGGTACCCGCTGACCTCCCGGAGGGAGTGTTAAACACGATCACGCAGGCTAGAGCTCCGTCTACTAGACGACTCTACTCCTCGAAATGGTCTGTGTTCTCTGCTTGGTGTTAAGCTCAGGGCTTGTCACCCGTAGACTGCGGGGTTAAGGAAGTGCTTGCCTTCCTTCAAGAGCTGCTGGATAAGGGCAGAACCCCTTCCACGCTCAAAGTGTACGTGGCGGCCATAGCAACGTTTGCAAAACCGGTGTCTGGCCATTCGCTGGGAAAGAACGACTTAGTTGTGCATTTCCTCTGGGGTGCTCGGAGATTGAACCCTCCCAGGCCCCCTTCAGTCCCGATGTGGGACATTTCCGTGGTGTTGGAAGCCATGAAAGGTGCCCCATTCGAGCCGATCCATTTGTCAAACATGAAGCATCTGTCTTTCAAAACGGTGTTTCTTATGGCTCTCGCTTCAGTGAAGCACATAGGGGACTTACAAGCGCTTTCGGTAAGCCAGATGGATAGTCGATGCCATAGCGCTGGCCTACACCTCCAAGGGCCTACAGTGCCCCTCGGGTGTCAGAGCGCACTCCACGAGAGGCGTGGCCTCTTCGTGGGCATGGTCTAGCGGGATTACCCTGCAGGATATCTGTACGGCCACGGGCTGGGCCTCGCCGTCTACATTTATAAAATACTAAAACCTCGAGGTTCCCGCCTTACAAGCTAAGCTTTTGGCGGTCTAAAATTCAGTACTATCTGCCCCGCTGTGTTGGCCCAGATGCTGAGTTGGGCCTGCGTATTGCTCACTGACCGATACAGCAGCCCTACGAGTGTTGACACATGTATAGCCACCCAGTTTAGGCTGAAACCTTTTCACCCTGGCTGCGTGGTGTCATATCTGTATGATTAGCTCCTCTGGATGCTACTTTATAAGGAATGACGCTTTTAGCCCCTCTTCCTTCACTCTCTGTGAGCCTATGGTGATTATGCACTACATGCGCCCCGGGCTTCTGCCCTTGGGACTTTGGTGTTGGATCCCTATATGCACGGCGTGTTACACTGTGTTCCCCATAGCGTAAGATATTACGCAGTACGAGAGATACTCTCGTAGGAGAACGTACTCGGTTACTAACGTAACCTCGGTTCTCTCTAGAGAGGGAACGAGTACTGCGTATCTTGCCGTGCTTAAACATACGCTCTGGTTCGCTTCAGTGATGAAAACCAGTTTGTATCAGCCTGTCGTCCGCCTTTATAGGGCAAGACCACGCCCTTTCTGGCGGGACGTGACGAAATGGGCGCGAAGTGCCCCCATTGGTCATGACGTCGCGCAGAGCGGCTCTCGATAGGCTGCTGCTTTTGCCGCAGGGCAGCCAATAGGCGCGCGAGCTGTCTCGCCTATGTCTGCTTGCTGCTGCAAAGCGTTTTACATTGATTAAAAATTAAGGATAATTTTTGGCTTCAATATCTCGTGGAAAAGAGTTTTCCCCATAGTGTAAGATATTACACAGTACTCGTTCCCTCTCTAGAGAGAATCGAGGTTACGTTAGTAACCGAGTACGTTCCCCTTGTCTTGTGTGGACTTTTGTTATGTCCTGTTCTTTGCCATGTTTTGTAGTCCTTTGTAGTTTTTCTCGTTTATTAGTCTTCCCAGGTGTTTCTGATCAGCCATGCCTCCTTGTTATCTTGTTTAGCTTGTTTGCCTTTGGATTTAAGCCCTGTGTCTAGTTCAGTCTTTGTGAGTTCTTGATGTTGTAATGTTGGTTGTTCTGTTCCCGAGTCTTGTTCCTGAGCCTATGCCTAGTGATGGCCAAATGAAGCGTTTCGAAGCATTATTGCTTTCTGATACAATTGACCTTTAGCCGGCCCCTCGCCCAAAACGGCCATTGTCCAATCACACATCATAGCAACCGTTACTATGTGAGCAGGTCCGTCAAACATTGAAACCAAGCAAGATGGTGAAGCGGTGCGCCCACGGCGTTTGTAAATCGGACACTAGGTACCCCGAGAGATTGTCTGGAGGAGTTGTGTTCTTTCCGTTTCCAAAGCCGAAAACACAACTTGAGCGGTGCCTACAATGGATAAAAACAGTGTGGACGACCCCACTCCCAGTTAAATGTGTCGAACATGGTTAACTGAGACTGAGACACTGAGATTAGTCAAAGAAACATGGAGAAAGCAGATCAAGAGGATCCACAAAGGAATTGCCTTTTCTAAAGGGTTGTTGTTAACATGATATTTTCGGGGGGAAATGAGCAGCAGTCAACTAGCAGTGCAGCACCCGTAGACTACAGTTTAGAGGAGTGCACGTTCGCAACGGGGAAAGCATGAAGCTTACTTGACAACATCAGTTCATATATCAATATCGTAACGAATAGAAATAACCTTAAATAATGTATGGTTATCTGCATCTTTCCATCTCTTATGTATAGTTACTTTTCAAACACGAAAATCGCATTCAGCATGACACACAAGCGGTTGCCGTGATAAGTTAATGATCAACCTGCTTGTTAAAGCAAGTGTTGGTAAAAAAAAGCATGCATGAAGCTAATAAAATGTTTTTTTTATTTTTTTTATTAAAGTACAGTTAAAAGTATTTTTTCAAGTATAAATAATAACATGTCAACATAGTAGTATATAGGCCTACTGCAAGTGCAAATATAATATATAAATAGTAAACTATAAGTATAATGTTAAGTTCACTTAAAGAAAACTTTCAGTAAACTACTAGTTTTCTACAATTATTAAAAAAGTAAACTACTAGTATACCCATACATTCACTTGCAGTACAAATGAGAAACGTAATTTTGAACTAGTTGTGCACTTAAAGTTTACTACTGTTACACTTATAGTACACTTAAACATATACTTTTATATACTAAAAGTGGGCCAATTTAGTCCCAAGCGGTATTAAAATATAGTACACTTACAAGTTTACTAGTACATATTGACATTAGTATACTTACTGCATAATGTATACTTAAAAATATACTTGAACATTACTTAAGTATACTTCATAAAATTAAATTGAAGTATACTTCTTTTTCGTAAGGGTATTTATTCCTGTATTCCGGTTCCAGAGTCTTGTTCTTGAGCCTATGGCTGAATTTGTGAAGTTGAGTTTATTTAATTAAAGAATCCTGCTTCCTCCTATGATTCAACCACATCATTACAATCTGCACCTGTCTGTCATTATGTTTGCCTTGTATTTACTCCGAATACTCCCTGTTATGTTCAGTTCTTTGTTGGTTCTCGTATGTTTAGTGGTTTGCATTTTGTTACCATCGTTTGCAATGTTACCCTTGACCGCTGTTTGAGATATGTCAGATATATCTGTGACAATCGAAACTGTCACATGCTGTTAGTATCTCAACTTGTTTTGAAACGGCAACATTCCTTTAACATCATGACTTTTGTAAATGATATGTTATTCACATGTGAAAATATATGTGGAAAATATATGTGAAAACAAATGGAAAGGAAAGTGTTGGGTATGACAGCAATGTTGTGTTCAACATAATTTTTTGTATGTAAAACAAATGCAAAATAAAAGCTTCATTAATATTAATGGGCCAGATATTGCAAATAATAATAGTGAGTTCAATAATTAAATCATTAATTTCATAATGAAATCAATTTTACTGTAAACAGTTCTTTAGGGCGATGGTGGAACTTATGTGTAAAGTATCTTTAAAAAAGTCATCTTTTGTGTATTTTATCAAGTTGAATTTAAATCATCATTAAAAAAAAGCATCAAACATTTTTTTGTAGCCTATATAAAGCTAGTGTAGAACTTGAATGGAAAGCTAAAGTGTGATGCAAAAATGATGCATATATATTTAAGTAAATCCAACACATCCTTTTTACCAGTGTAGTACTTCTGAAAAAAATGTGACAAAAAGAAAGTTCCAGTCTCTAAAGGATCATTCATGAAGCCACCTTCGTGATAATCCTCAGTGTGTGTGTTATTCCAGTTCCTCAAGGTTACCATGACTATCCTAAAGAAAAGCATAGCAAATGTGTATTTACTTACAACATTACTTGGTAGTTAGATTGTTTTACAGTGGGAAAAATATAATGCATTTATATAACACAAAATGAGATAGAATGTTTTAAAATAACAAGAAAGCACACCTTTATATTTAATGAATAAAATAAATGTTATACAGTTTATTGTTTCATTTCTGTTTTATTTGGGTGAAAGTGATTTACTGCCATTGTTAAGTATATAATTGAGGTTTGCAGTAGGGATGTCAATTTACACAAATTCCCATGTCCAATTGTCATTTAAATTAATGATCAATTAATCGTTAACCTTAAAACTGCAAGATGTGTCTACTGCAGTGGCATATATGCATCAGCATGACAGTGAGTGCCAGTGTCACTCAAAAAAAGTTAGTTTTTTAACTCTAAATAACAGGCTAGTAGGATTGTACAATGTATCAATGTGATTTATGCTAATTTGCAAATAGATTGTTTTGCTAGTATAAGTGTTCCTTTCTTCACAAATGTGCATATGATATTACATATTACAGAAAATTTGGAGAATACAAAAAAAACCCCCTGTATTTTTACTATTTGACAATATTCCTGCGTCTGCTAGAGCCTCATTTACCTTCATTTGAAGTAAAACTATCACAATCTAAGGCATGCTTGCTACATTTTTCCTTGTGTCTGCTGTACGTTTATGGTGCATAAATAACTAGTGAAGCACCGATCGATTTTTCATGGCCGATTCCGACACCGTTTTTTTACAAGCATACTGTCCGATTCTGATACCGATATCTGTTTTTTTTTTCTCTTTTCTTTAAGCAACAAGAAAGAATATAAGTATGGTGCCAGTGAAACTAAATAAAATGTCTGTGACATATGAAATGTGAACTATGAATAAAAGATGATTTATTTGAAGTCTCTTTAGCCTTTATGGAGTTCCTCATTATTAAATGCTCCTATAGTTCCTCATTATTAAATGCACAAACATAAAACACACACACAAAGAAAATAAGGAAATAATGACAAACTTTTTCTTTTATTAGTGTGGCCTAACTCTTTTGCATGGTTCATGGCTATTTTCAGACTGTTTTTTCACAACCAGGACTTCAACAAACAGGCAAAAGATGGCATATGAAAAATAGCACTGTTCATAATGTATGTCAAATAAACAAATCTTAAGATAAACCATTCCGTTAAAAACTATATATAGATACAGAAAATTATTAAATGTAAAACAAAAACTTTCAATAAATACGCGGATACAGTTTTAAACTGGATAAACATTATGCAAAGTCTGTCCAGCAATCATTAATGTCTCATTTAATCTACACCAAAGTCCGATCACGCATTAGCCTCAAGCTCTTCCATACTGTGACATTCAAAGAATTTGAACTGAGATGGAATGACATCAGTCATCTGGGCCATGAGTGAGATCAGACCTGTGGATGTCAACAGATAGTAATTACAGTATTATGGTAATAAAGTATGGATTGTTCTGCACAGATACAGACTGTGGTCAGAGCAGCTCTTTGGTTATATTGTCTGCCATATACTCCAGGTGATGTTGCACAAACAGATAATGGTTTAACACTCGCAGGACAGCAGGGAGCTCAACACTGCAGTGTCTTTAAAAAAAGAAGAAGTTGAAGAAAATCACGTTTCCTCTCTAGAAAGAATTTATAAGGTGAGGTATTCCCGGCAACCTTACAATGCATTTCATAAAACCAGCCCATTAAACGGGATGGACAGCATTACTGAACGACGGTTTGGATTTTGTTACACATTGTTTTAGGTTTTTTTTTGTACTATCACTGAACTTTTAAGTATTGTTGACAAAGTGTGTCAAGTGAATGTTACATGTTGTCCATTCTACTGTTTGATGAATAGGCTTACTGTGAATTCAGGCATAGGCTCTTTTTAACATGTTCTTCGCCTTGATCAAAAACATGAGTTGCAGGAATAAATGATTAGTCTTGAGTTGTTAGGCATTTAGACATTCTTTTGCTTTATGGTTTAAAAATGATAATGAGAAATGCTTTGACACTGTGTGCAGTTGTATCAAATATTAAAATATATTTCCATAGCTTATCACTCTAAAAAATGCTGGGTTGTTTCAACCCAAATTTGGGTCAAATATGGACAAACCCAAATGTTGGGTTAAAAATGTAATTAAAAAATGTACAGTTGAAAGTGAAAGTTGAAGTTGGGTTAAAATTTTAAATACAATTTTTAACCCAACATTTGGGTTTGTCCATATTTGACCCAAATTTGGGTTAAAACAACCCAGCATCGTTTAGAGTGTAGTGTTGCAGTGCATCACAGATTTTGCTGACCACAAACCAACCAAGACATCTGCACTCACAAGTTCAGAAAGATGGAACAACTGTTGTTTAATCACTAGTTTCATGTAACAACACGTGGAAGGTTCTCATATAGTACATTTATAATGGCACCTATGTGACTCAACAGGTTTTTTTTGTGTCACATGAGTTTATACAAGTGATCCACCCATATGTAATACACTCTATAAATATTAAGACAGTCTGGTAATCTAAAACAGAAGCAGCAGGAGCAAGAGAAAAGAAGAGGCTTCAAATCAAAAGGTAAACTGTCGTCCCGACATTTAAAACATTAAAGTAATAAATAGTGAAAATGATTTGATTGATTGTTTTATTTATCACAGGTTTTACATGTGCTTAATATGTTTCCAGAGGCTATGTTTCCATTGCTTCTGTTATCAGGTAAGACAAAGTTTTACATTAAATATTTTATCATCAAGCATTTGGATTTGTCTGGTGACTGATAATTCAGTAATGTTTTTTTTGTTGTTGTTTTTTTACCATTTTGAGAATACAGTTAGAGTACACAGTCAGATAATACAGTCAGAATACAGAATAGAGTACACTTACCCATTTAGTCCTTGTTTTCTCATTTGAAAAATAAACTTGTCTTTAACAGGTTTTATCACCTTCACCTTGAGTGTCCCTCAGTATGTCTTTGTGAATGAATCCAAGACTTGGGCAGAAGCTCAGAGATACTGTAGAGATAAATACACTGATCTGGCCTCCATTGAGAATGAACAACAGACGGTCCAGTTATTGGATACAGTGAATGATGATTCCATTGATTTGGCCTGGATTGGACTCTATGATGATCTGAACAGTTGGAGATGGACTCTAGAGGACAGTGATTTCTTCAAGGAAGGAGGGAAAGACTTCAGGAACTGGCATGAGCAAGGACAAAACTATTATGGAGGACAAAGTGTGTGTGTGTTTATGCAGAAGGGGATATGGTATACAACAAGCTGCTCCAATGCATTTTATCCTACTGTCTGCTATGATGGTAAGCTGTCAATAGAATGTCTAAGACAGTAAACAAAAGTTTAAAATAACCAAACCAACCTCTCTCTGAACTTAATATGATATTAATATCTTTCAGGAAGAGAAAACGCCAGTGATACTTATGTTTTTATTTACCAGTCCAAAACCTGGACTGAGGCTCAGAGTTACTGCAGAAAACATCACACAGACCTCGTCAGTATCAGGAATGAGACTGAAAACCAGAAGTTCCAGTATTTATTTCGGAATTATTATTATTATTATGTTTGGATTGGACTGTACAGAACCAGATCTTGGTCAGATCAGAGCAACTCTTCATTCAGTAACTGGACGACAGGACAGCCAGATACTCCAGGATCCTGCACTGTAGTCTCATTCACCGACTCTGGGAAATGGGCAGATGAAAACTGCACTTATGTATTTCCTTTCTTTTGCTACACTGGTGAGTAGAAATCTGTCTTAATGGCCAGGCTGTCAAAAAAAATTTGAATGCTATAAATCTGACACTTTCCCCACAGTGTCATCTTTGATATCATCACGCCAGTATCACTTTGTGAATGAGTCTAAGACCTGGACTGAAGCTCAGAGACACTGCAGAGAGAATTACACTGATCTGGCCACCATTGATAACATGGAGGAAATGAACAGTCTGATAAACACAGTTAATGGGAGTTACAATGGCTCAGCCTGGATTGGACAGTATGATGATGTGAACAGCTGGAGATGGTCATTGGAAAACAATGATTTTTATCAGGAAGGAGAGAGAGATTTCAGGAACTGGTATCATGAACCAGACAACAGTGGGGGGAACCAGCTGTGTGTTTACATGAATTATGATGGAAAATGGTATGATACATCATGTGACTACACACTGCAATTCGTTTGCTTTGATGGTAAGGACATTTATTTTATTTATTTTTTTGAGTATTTCTGCGCGTCTATGAAATGTGTCGTATATTTCAAATCACAGGTAGAGTGAATGCCACACAGAGTTACGTTGTAATCTATGACAGGAAAATCTGGTCAGAGGCTCGTAGATACTGCAGAGATCATTACACAGATCTCGCCAATGTGAGAAATCAGACTGAGAACCAGAGGATCCTTGAGACAGCAGGTGGATATGAAGTCTGGATCGGACTGTACAGAAACAGGGTTTGGTCAAACGGTCAGATGACCAAATTTGAAGACTGGAGACCACAAATTCCATATTCTTCACAGCAACCAGATAATGGTCGATATGGTTATGACCAATGGTTTTCTCAGCAATGTACTGCAGTATCATTCAGCCATTTAGGCCGATGGACTGATGAGAACTGCTTATCCAGCATGCCATTCATCTGCTTCAACAGTGAGTTTATTTTTTCTCTTCTTTTTTACGCAGACCAACATTTTTATAGACATTACAAAAAGTGTTCAAAAAGTACTCATAAATAATATACATTAAAATTATATTTTATATAGATTTTGAAACAACTTACCACATATATATTTTAATTTGCACCATGCAAAAGCTGTTTTTTCCAGTTGTTAGGGGGGGTAACAGTTTCAGACCCAGGACCAGAGATGATGAAAGAAGACCAGGAGTCGTGATGTTCAATCAAAGAGTAAAATTTACTGAAGAATAGTTTGCAGTTTAATTGGCAGAGTCAGCGTCAAAGTCTCACGAGGAGGTCGCAAGCTAATTCTACCTTACATGAAAATCGTACACCAGTTATACTGTTTTCAAGGGCATACATTACATAAACATTCACTTCTGATTGGCTCAGAAGACATAAAGCCTAAACAATTACACATAGATAGAAGGGTACGTTGACATCAATCAAGATAGCTGTCATCCAAGTCACGAAGATCCAGTAATGACCTCGGAGGGCCCATCGAAAAGCGTCATGAGACCAGCCACCCCATGTCATGAGACCTGCAACATACTGATAAAACCTTCCATCCTCAGAGAGAAGAAATAACAATTACTTTACTTCTTGAGAAATATATGTATGAAAGAAGTAAAACAAATCATAGAATCATACAGAAATTGACCCCTGCCCATTAATAGGGTCAGCAGAGAAACATGATCATATGATGAGGGTTTTCTTTAAGTTTAACACACTCATTAGTATACATACGGACAAAAAGCCTGTATTTAATGTTCTTGCTCAGGGCCACAGAAGATTAGTCCCAGACATCATAAGACATTCATGAAAGATAGGCCTTCACCCAACATTCAGGAAAGAGGTGCATTCAACAGAAGTATGAATAAAAACTATATGTGAATCATTTATTGCGTACAGGAATGATTATATAACTTGATTAGTGCTTATTATAGTAATAATGTAATCATAAAAAAGGATATACATATAGTTAAATTGAAGAGGCAAGGGATTCTGACCCCAACCCTTCAGTCCCCCGTTTTAGACCGATGTGTGGTCCAATACCGCCACGTCTGGTCTATCAAGTGAGGCCACTACGGAGAGGGGGAGTGGTGACGCATGCTTCCCTGACGGGTCACACTTGTCTCTTCACCTCGTCACGGACATGCTGGATACTAAAAAGTCCAGTCCCCGTTAAGAGGCTCTCCCACCTTCCACTCACATCAGGGCTTCAATGTTGTTTTGATCCAATTTGTCCCTCAGGTGGGTCGTGAGCATCAGCAGTCTCTTTTCCTCCTCAGCAGGATTCAGATTTCTGCATGCAGTCCTGCACAGATAGGAGAAACAAAAACGAACACACAACCAAATACACAAACAGAGGAACAACACCCCCACAAGGGCTCCCACAGCATACAGCACGTAGTGCACAAATCCCATGACTATATCCTCCGATGCTGTCACAAAATCCTCCCAAGCTTCTTCCACATATTCTTCTACAGTTTCTGCCATATCTGTGAATATAGCACCAACCGAAAAAGCCAAAACAAAAGCCACCGCAATAGCAGATGGTGCTTCAGAGTCCGACATAAGAGAAGTTCCCTTGGACTTAAACCAGGCAGAATTCAAATACTCATAACCTGCAAATGGATCAGTCGTCTTTACCTGCTCAAGGAAAGCTGTAATGTATTTCTGCTGAGCTTCCTGGGCCTTTACCTGGGGAAAATATTCAGTTTCTTGCTTCAATTCAGTAACACAAAGGGAACCCTCCGCTCCATTACCATCTTGACTCTGATCCACTGGACGCCACGTGGGACCCAAGGGATGCGTCCACCTATGTCTAGCACAGTTCTTGGGAGAAATGTTATACTCGTCATGCAACTGGATCGGACCCAAAAACTGCCGAAATTGTTTTTCCCTATCAAACCACTCATCCCCTATGGCTACATCCTTTAACTGAGGCCACATCCTCACCTGGAATGGTTGATAATTATCCCACAATAACTCCTCATATTTCACTGGTACCAGACGAGTCTTTATTCTAGTATACATCAATTCAATCGTCAATTTAAGCACATGAAGGTGCATCCAGGCAGTCACATTATAAGCCATGGAGGTAGGGCTGTAACATTTCCCTTCTAAATAATCATGCAATTGATCCATTTTAAGAGCCGTTTTATTAGCAAAGCTCCTAACGAGCTCGTACTGATGCAACACGTCATACAAACTAGTCCAAGTGTATCCTGTCTTAACAAAAGAGGAATTACATACTTCCATAGGCACTTCCATCACCTTTACACCTGTGAGTTTTTCCGACATCGTTTTACATTTCTTAACATCACCTGGAGGAAAGGTTTTAACAAACCATTGTTGAATGTTTTCACCTAAACAACGTTCCACCTGTACTGTCTCCTTCCACGGATCATCAAACCTAGTATACTTGGGCCAAGAGAGAGAAAAAGCATTGACAAAAGGCAAACCATTTTTACTGCCATTAAGGTCGAAATTCTTTTTATCAGTCTTATCGATTCGTCCGAATCGATCACAAACAGCACCATAAGACCTGTCTACGTCCCATCGGACCATGTGAACCCTCGTGGGAACTAACACTTTCCATCTCATCGAATCCTTATCCTTCAGGATCTGTTGATACAAGTCTGAACCTGGTTCTTCTCTCACAACAATGTTGCTATGTATGTAACTTTGGACCACATCTTTGACAACCTGATTAGAACCTAATTCAGCTTTAGCTTTGGGCAGGTAATATGACATTATGTGTCGAGGGTCAGGTGCACTAGGATAAAGGGGAAGTTTCACTGGTTTCCCTCCTAAAATCATGTGGGAATCCCCTAATGCTACGGTCTGACGCTTCTTCCGCCCTGCTCTATTCTCATTCTTCATGGGTTTCAACAGATAACTATTAGCCATATTCATCCGTTTGGAGCAGGCAGTGTGGTTTTCATGGGCTATGCTGTCTGGAATCCAACTCATGGAGCTAAAATGCGGTTCATAAACATAAACACCTCCATCTCTCACCCAACGACCTTTTTGCATAATGAGGGTATTACCGGGATAATTTGGGGAGTGACCAAGCCAATAGGTCACTGACTCATTTCCGTCCAACCGATAGCATCTATCGTTTACCTTCTGATACATAGTCGAAATCAAATTTAGACCCTCAGTTGAATTTAGGCATGGGTATTGTACCCAGGATGGACGGTTGTCAGTTTCTTCACAATCCCAATTAGTCGCAAAAGCATGGAATCGACCGGTCCAAATGGAAATTTCTTCTTGCAGAATTAGCAGCTTCAATAAGTCGTCTGGCTCAGCCATCTGTAAATGATAAAACAGTAATGCCAGAATTTAGAAAAATCATATACGACAGATATTGAAGAGGTACGATTTATCATGTTATTATGTGGTGGTATTCTGGTTGCAACACCTCTCAAGTGGTTTCACCTGTGACCAATGTCTCCATACTGTACCCAACACACCTCTGTCGAGTAAAACAGATGTATTAGTAGTCAACAGAACTTGGTAAGGTCCATCAAATTTCGGACCCAGAGGAGAGATTATCTCCCTTTGCAACATTACACTGTCACCTATCTCAGGCAACGCAGGCATGTCTTTTTGCTCAGTGTTATCTTTCTCTGCTTGTCGGATACTGACACTAACCCTGGTGTCTTTTAAACAGTTATCCAAAGCCTTCAGATAATTTTGCAGAGCATCTTTCAAAGGCCCTGACGGTCCCTCATGTTGCAGAGGAGCGTCCCAGGGCAGTCGCATGTAGCGACCTGTCATTATCTCAAAGGGACTGATCTGAGTAGTTTTGTTCGGGCTGGCTCTCATACTTAAAAGAATGGTTGGGATAGCAGAGTGCCATCCCTTCCCCCACTCCAACAATCTCTTTCTCAATGAAGTTTTAATCGTCCGATTAGAACGCTCGACAGAACCACTAGACTGAGGACGAAACGGTATGTGGAAGTGTTGTTTCACTCCCATCAATTTCATCACATTCTTCATTACCTTCCCCGTGAAGTGTGTGCCCTGATCTGAGTCAATGTGCAATGGTAAACCCCATCTGGGGAAAACTTCATTCAACAGAATTTTTGCAGTTGCGTCTGCTGTGCAGTTTTTCAGAGGAAACGCCTCCACCCATCTGGAAAACAAATCAACAATCATCAGAATGTATGAAAAGCCTCCACTAGGGGGCAGGGGACCTATGAAATCAATTTGAAGGTGGGTCCATGGCCCCTGAGGTCGAGGGGCATGTCCTAAAGGAATCTTTAGCTTTGCTGGGGAATTCACTTTAAGACATACTAAGCATCTTTTACAAAAGTCATTGCAAGAAGCTCTCAGCTTTGGCCACCACCAGGTTTTTGAAATCATTGCATGTAAATTCTCAGGACCAGCATGTGCCAAACCATGATACAGAGACATTAGTTCAGTTCGAGCAGAAACAGGACAAACAAAACGGTCGTTGAATTTCCATAACCCTTCTGTATTTTTCTTTGCACCTAATTTTGTCCATTGCTCTATCTCTTCAGGGTCATCCTCTGAATAAAGTTCAAAAATGTCTCTAGAGGGTTCACTCTCCTGGGGAGCAAAAGCCAGCACACTCACGCATGTCTCAGTCAATTTTGCAGCCTCTCTGGCAGCAGTATCAGCCGCTTGATTCCCTTTGGCCTCTGGAGAACTGTCAGTGGAGTGTCCCGTGATTTTGATAACAGCTCCTGCTGCAGGGAGATCACATGCAGCCATCAATTCTTTTACCTGGTGCTGATGAGAGATGGGGAGACCAGCCGTGGTTAGAAATCCCCTGCGTCTCCAAACCGGGCCGAAGTCATGAACCGTACCGAAGGCATAACGACTGTCCGTGTAGATATTGACGCGTCTCCCTTTGCTGTGCTGTAATGCTCGGGTTAAAGCAACCAGCTCTGCCACTTGAGCCCCTCCCCCTGAAAGAGAACCACAGTCAACAGTTTCA